CGTGTGGCTCTCTGGGAAACACCTGTAACGCGGAGGTGTTGACTCTTGCAGGGCTTCTTTCATGACCAAAACCGTGCCTTGTGGAAATGAGCTTCATAAGTTCCTCATCTGGGACACTGCTGGGCAGGAGCGGGTGAGTACCACGTGCTGGAGTGGGCTGCTGGGCACTGGGCAAGACCCTGACAGTAGAGAGGACAGACACACGACGTCTGAATCAGTTTGTGTAGAAAGGACATGCATGCTTTGGCTCTAGGAAGAACGAAGGCAGGTCTGTGGCGAGGCAGGGCTGAGCCCAAGTTCCCGCATGCTTGGTGGACGCGCCGTCCACCTTGACGTGTTCACTTCCCCTGCAGACCTGGATGGAGCGAGATAGCATGGCCCAGAACTGGGTCTGCACCCCGAGTTTTTAGCCCAAGCGGTCTCACAGGCTGACAGTCATGGAGTAGAACAGGTGGGCCCCTTCTCTGGTCTGAGCCCCTGCCACCTTCTCTCCCCCCAGCCACAGTGACACCGCTCACCTCCTGCCTCCCCACTGTCGCTGTGCATCTCCAGTTCCCACCCCACTGGCTGAGTCATCTGTTATTGTCCAAAAGGAAGAATGTAGCTTCAGGGTCATTTAGAGTTTTCATTGCCTACTCTTTCTACATCAAATGCTAGTTCATATAGTTTTCATTTTTTACAGTGTCCCTTGGTAAAACTAAATTTCCAATATTTATGGGTCAAGGCATTTTGAAGAATTTTTAAAAATGGGTTGAATCTGGTGGCCTACAAATGCCAGCCTCATTAGAGTATCTCCCTGCCTGCTGCTAACTCGGAGCACAGGCTGCACACGGGGCCGCTGCCTGGCTGTCACTGCTGGCAGCTCAGGGCCCCTTCTCCTCAAGCCTGAGTCTCCCTTGTGTTTGGCCTGGGGATTTATGTTTTGGGATCGTTACGTACGCTTAAGTTGAGGTTGTCTCGCGCCCCCCTTACCTTTGGCGTGAAGGAGCCGCTTCCGCAGCTGCCTTTTCTCATGCAGGAAAGTCACTTTTGAGACAGCTAGCTTAACACAGACATATGAACAGGGCTGCCGCTCCTGCAGCCGCCGGGCGCTCTAGGTCTTGCTGGGTCCTGGGCCCTTCTCCGGTGCTCTGCTGTGCACGCGCATTTGGCCCTCTGAGAACAACCGTGGGGAGCAGGTGTTGACCCCCACTTAAGGCAAGGCCATCTAGGCTCAGGGATCATGGGTCACACAGCTTACTGAGGCATAAGGCTGAGGCTGGAATCCAGCCACCCGAGATCTGAGCTTTCAGGTCTTGTTGTGCTAGGAAACTCAGACGACAGCAAAACGAAGCCAGCCCTCACCATCTAGGTATTTCCATGACCAATATTAGGTCATTTTCTCAGCTGACTCTTTTTTTTTAATTATTTGGCACAGACTCTTGCAATGCAGTTCAGACTTCTAGTGGTCCTCCTGTCTCAGCCTCCCCAGTGCTGAGATTACAGGCATGCACCACCACTCCTGGTTTCAGTGGCCAGCTTAGCACGCCCGGGGTTCTGGGGCTGACACAGTATACGGTACTTGGGATTGAACCTGGGTCCTTGCGCTTGCCAGGCAGGTGCCTAGATGGCCAGGCTCTCTCCCTTCCCCAGCTCTCTTGAGCGTGGATCGCTTTCCCAGTGGGACTCTGGGTCCTCACAGTCTGCTATTTCCATCTGATACTATAATGTCCCTACGGATGAAGTGTGTGTGGTCACAACAGAGTGGTTGACATTCGCGTACCTTTTCTAATACAGGATTCAGAGACTTCACTGCTTTGGGTGCTGCCTGGTCCTCCCCAAAGCCACTGCTATAACTGGACACACTTACCATCTCAACGTAAACTTTTAGTTGATTGTATTTCTAATCATAATTGCTTTCCTACGGTTTGAGTATTGGAGGTTGTAGACACCTGTGACTGCATTAAGGTAGCTGTAATTTTTTGTGTGGTGCTGGGAGCTGAACCCAGGGCCTTGCAGCTCCTAGGCGAGCACTCTGCCACTGGGCTCCACCCCAGGCCATAATTTGTTCATTTTTGAAAGCGTCAGTGTGTCCTGTAAGAGGGGTGGCTCTGTAGGGTGATGCTCTTCTTTCATACTTCTGGAAGAAGGATTCAGTTTTGGATGGTAATCTCTTTTCACATCTAGACTGGAGAGTGTGGGAGCCGCACCCATGGGGCTTTGGCTCCTTGTGTCCTGCCAGCCGTCGGAGGCCCCACTTGGTTGTCCTTGCTGGCCGCCGATGTCCTTGTGATGGAGGCTCATCTCTCCAGCGACGGCAATATTCCAATCATCTTGGCAGCCCGTTGTCGGCTTTCATGGTGCTTGCAATGATGTTGCCTAATGTTGGAGCTTAAGCTCCTGCTGTTGCTGGTGCCTAGTGCTAGTAGTTCCGTCTCAGTAGTTACTGGAGCCCAGTGGACTGTGTTACCTGTGCTCGTCTCCATGGAATCTGCTACTGCTGTCTTCATTTTTGTAATTTTCTACAGTGTCTTTGGGGTGAGAGTACAATGGCACAGGGTTCTGTGTCCTCAGAAGAGGACTGACGCCCAGCACGTGCCAGCGTCACACATGCTCAGTGTGATGAGCCCCTGATGCTGCCTGGTAGGAACGCGCTCTGCAGAACAAGGCCGTGGGCCCTTGGAGAGCTTCTTGCCTCCAGCACTGCACACGGGAAAGGGTCTCCTTCCTCCTTGTGTGAGAAGGCCGTCAGTCTTTCTTTTTCCTTTTCTTTTTCTTTCTTTTTTTTTTTTTTGGCGGAACCAGGGATTGAACTCAGACCCTTGTGCTTGCCAGGGAAGCACTTATTCCACTGAGCCATCTCCCTGGCCCAAGGCCGTCAGTCTTGATGTATGCACACCCTAACTTGTTCTTTTTAGTGGTTCCATGGTAATCCGGAGAATAACTTTACAGAACAGTGTTTTGAAAAACCTAACCGTCTTCCAGCTAACCTTGGATCCAGCATGTTAGCAGCCTCACGTTTCCCAGACATGTGTGTTCAGCGTGTGGATCCTCGCAGGTGCGGGAAGGAGGAGTGCTACTGTCCCTGTTAGGTCACCCTGAGGGCAGAGGGGGCTCATCCCCCATCCCGGATGGCTGTGCTGCTCCTTGCTGTATCACACGCACATCCGTCTGTGCAGGGGACTGGGTAGGAGGCTGAGCAGGAACCGAACTCACAGCAGTCCAGAGCAGAAGGGCGGGGCTTATCAGGCCAGTGCGGCCCTCCCCCTTCCACTGGTCAGGGCCTGAGGGGGCGGGAGGACAGCATTTTCAGGGGTCAAGTCCTGTTATCCCCAGCTGACTCCCTCGAGACTGTCTTGTTTTCTTTTTCTTTTTGTCTGTTTCAGACAAGGTCTCCCTATGCAGTTCAGGGTGCCTTCACCTCACTTTGTAGCCCAGGCTTGCCTCAAACTTGCAAGGCTCCTCCTGCCCCAGCTTTCAGAGTGCTGGGATTACAGGCATGCCATCACCATGCCCAGCTTTTTGTTTTCCTATTTAGACTGGGGTGATGTAACATCTTCATTGCTATTAACATTGTCTCATCATACCTGCGGTGTAAGATATAACCTCCTGTGTGACAGTGTCCGGTGTCCAGCAGTGCTGGTGTCCATTAACATAATGATAGAAATGATAGCTTGAAGAGTTGCGTAGCAAATTATATAAGTTGTTATTGGTATCTTTTTTGGTATTTAACAAATTAATAAGACATTGGAAATGAGAAGTACTACGAAGAAACGAAATAACACTATGTGCTGGGTAAGTAGTTTTATCCTATACTTCACGAGCTACTGTAGACTCCGAAGGTAGGAAACACAGTCTTCATTTTTCTAGATGTGTATTTTCAAACATAATGATTTGCTTTAAAACACAACCCAAATCCACATGACTCTATTAAAACATGTCAGGATTCTGGGACAGTTTTAGACTTCGGTCTCCTGTTCTGAGTCACTAAGGCAATACTGTTTGAAGAATCTAACTAAAGCTTTTCATGTCAAAGCACACCACCTTGTCGTTCTGTATCATTTGCTTAAACTCGGCTTCACAAATTTTTACTTTCCTCGTTGCTGCCTGGTCTTGATGGCTGTGCTTATGACCTTTCCACTTCCAACGAGCACAGTCAGCCTTGGCAGAGACATGCTGGTGGGTCTGTCCTTGGAGTGAAAACTCCCAGCTACACTGCCAACGTATCTGAAGCTGGTAAGATGGACTTCTAAAATTAAACTTTATTTTATGTTTTTCAAAAGATAAAATAGCACATATGGAAAGGAATAAGTGACCTCTGTCCCCCAGTGTCAAGCGAGCATTTCGTGGGATGGTGGTAAAAAGCACAGAATGGATATAACTTAGTTGTATACTATGTTATGTCATTTATTGCTGGCATCCTTTGTAGTATTTTTAAAAAATGAATAAAATACTGAAAATGGAAAAAAATACTAAGAAAAACTTGAATAACACTGCATGGGTGTGAATAAGCTAATTTAATCCAGAGCTTTGTAGAATTCTAAGTGTAATATTAAATAAGACTTGAAAATGCGGAATAATATTATCAGTCCTAAAATCAGCACGTGACTGCATGTGTGTGAATTTTTAAGCTATTTCCATTTTTAAATAATCACACTTACAGGCTGGGGGTGCAGTTCGGGGGCAGGGTGCTTGCCTGAGAGCGGCTCAGGCCCTGATTTCGATTCCCAGCACTGAAAACAAAATCATGTTCATAGAAAAATTACGAAAGTAGAGGACCCCTAGATGTGGGGTGTTGCTTCAGGCTGGAGGTGTGGGGTCTGCTGGGATGGAGGGGACACCAGCTGTCCAAGCAAACAATTCTGGGGCAATCTAGAGGCTCAGGGACAGGGAGTCCCAGCTGACAGTGGGCAGGTCACTTCCATGGTTTCTATGCAGGCCCGTCAACCCTGAGCTTTTTGGTCCCTGAGTTTGCCAAATCTAGACCTTCCACATCAGTGGAATTATACAGTCTGTGATGTTGTTGCAGCACACTTCTTTCACTTTGCGTGCTGTTACCAGGTTCATCTACGATGTCATATGGATCAGTATTTATTTCCTTTTTATGCCTGAATAATCCATAATATTACATTGTGTAGCTATCGTGTTCTTTTT